CAATGTACTACCTTAGGGAAACATTCTCTCTCCCTAGTAGCACAATAAATAAATATTAAATAAAAATAACTCACATTTACCTGATTAATGATTTTATAAGATATTGTCTCTGTTAGGTTTTTAAATTATTTTATTAGTACATTTTTGTAGTGCATAACGTTTACATTCCTTGTGTGGAGTTGGTACATAACACATCTTAATTCCTCTTTTTATCCCTTTCCTTCCCCTCCTGCTACCTTTATCTCTTGATTTTGGTTGTGGCTTGTGGTGAGATTAACCCCTGTTATGGCTTGTGTTTAGATGTTTCCCAAAGCCTCATGTGATCACAGGTGGGGCTCTTCAGAAGTGGCTAGATCTAGAGTGTGTGAGGGGAGATTGATTCATGGTGCAACTCTAGGATTAAGGGAAGTAGGATTAAGGATGTGGACGACACCTGTCCTAAGTAGCCTTGATAAGACATAAGGGAGAGAAAGATGCTTGTTCCTGGTCACTTGCTTCTTTTGCTGTCTTCTGCCTGCCCAACTTTGCCATGAACTGTTTCTCCCCTGCAATGCCCTACTGCCATGCCAAACCACCTTGGAGCCACCCAACTATGAAATGAAACCTCTACAAACTGCAAGCTAAATAAGCATTTTCTCCTTTAAATTGTGGATGTTGGTTATTTTGTCTCATCAACAAAGAAAAGTAACTAAGACAATTGCAGGAGACGAGTTTGAAACCACACAGGGCAGGCTATAAAATATTATTGAATTGGCTTATGAACTGGCTATTGATTAAACTGTGAGTCTGTCCCAGGCCCACGTGACTTACTACAGCACCTCCAGCTGGAGCACAGAAGCAAAACTCTCAATTGTGGCACTGGTCACAACTGAGATCTCAATGGTCAGTAATGTGACATCTGATAGCAAGGTGACACTGAAGCTCAGAATTTACTACTCTTGTGCAGCCATTCTCCCAGAGCAAATGTTAGCTAAAGAAAACACAGCTCACTCATTAATTATTGCCTGTCTTTGGCAAGAATGCATCATTTCTCCCCTTTGACAAGCCTGGTTCTTCTCAGTGCCTTGGCCCCCACTGTTCCTTACATTTGCCATTACGCCCTCGATGTGTTGTATGATCAGCAAATACTGGCAAATCCAGAGCCCCGAGGTTTTAACTTGCAAGACCTTAGGCCATCCCAGGCCCTGCAAAAACAATCCTTTCTTTTTGTCTTGTATTATTCTTTTATCCTTCACTGTACCCTCAGGCAGGGGCTCATCAGCACCCTCCCCCGGCCGACAATCCCTTCCTATTTGTGACATCTATCTCTGTACTTCCTATTATCTATCTTGTATTTTGCCCTTTTTTATATTTGGAGTTCCTCGCATCAGGGAAAGTATGATATTTAAATAGTGTGTCTGACTTATTTCACATGATTTTATGGTATAAAGGTGCACCGATTTTCATATAAATGACTCATGTTTATCTTATGGCAGAGTATTACTGCATTGTGTATAAATTCCACATTTTCTTTATCCATTCATCCACCAAGAGATATACAGGCTACCTCCAGAATTAAGTGATTATGAATTGCACTCCATAAACATGAGGATGCATTTATCACCGTAATGTGATGGCTTTAATTCTTTTGAGAAAATACCTAGAAGGGGAATTTTTTTTTTTTTTTTGGTACAGGGATCAAACTTTGGACCTTGCATTTGGGAGGCAGGTGTGGCACTGAGTTAAATATCCAGCTCCTCTGCTTTTAGTTTTTTGAGGAATATCCACACTGATCTCTGTACTAATTGTACTAGTTTGCATTCAAATTTGGGATTGTGATGCCTTCTGCTTTGCTGTTATTACCCAGGATTGTTTTTACTATTCTGGGTCTCTTTTGGTTCTATGCAAATTTTAGGATTGTTTTCTCCAGTTCTGTAGGTAATGTTGTTGGAATTTTGACTGGGACTGCATTGAATCTAAGCAACAGTTTGGGGAACACAACCATTTTAACTATATTGGTTCTACCTATCCAGGAACATGAGATATCTTTTTATTTTTCTGATGTCCTTTTCAATCTCCTTTTTCAGAGTATTGTTGTTTCTGTTGTAGAGGTCTTTTTCTTCTTGATTAGATTAATTCCTAAGTATTTAATTTTTCTTGGTGCTATTGTGATTGGTATTTTTTCATAATTTTTCAGTGGACACAGTATTGTTTACAGGAATGTTAATGATTCTGTTTTAATTTTGCATTGTGATACATTATTGAACTTATTTATTAATTCTAGGAGTCTTGTGGTGGAATTCTTTCGAGTCTTCTATGTAGAGAATCATGTCATCTGCTAATAATGATAATTTGACTTCTTCCTTTCCTATACATGTCCCTTTTATTTATTTTTTTTCCTTGCCTAATTGCTGATGCTAATGTTTGGAGCACTATGTTAAACAGGAGTAGTGGTAGTAGACAAGTGGACAGCCTTGTTTTGTTCCTAATTTTAGAAAGAAGGCTTTCAGTTTTTCCCCATTCAATATGATGCTGGCAGTAAATTGTCATAAGTGACATCCGTTAGATTGAGATAAGTCCCTTCTATATTATTTTCTTCTTTTTTTATTTGTACCAGCAATTGAACTTGGGACCATTCGCTTGCAAAGCAGGCTGCAGAACCACTGAGCTAAATCCCTGCCCATTTTCTTCATCTTTTTATCATAAAATAATGTTAGATTTGGTAAAAAGCCTTTTTCTGTGTCTATTGAGATGATCATGTGACTTTTGTCCTTGATTCTGTTTATGTGATGGATTTCATTTATTGATCTGCATATATACAGGTCTGGGGTCTCAACCACCCTTTCCTGTCCCTTGCCTCCCTACCATCACTGACACCCTTGTCACACGCCCACGTGGCCTAGGTTACCCAAGGAGCCACCAGACCCTGCAAGCCATTCAGACCCGCCAGGTGTGGACACATACAACAAGCCACAATGCTGGGGCTCTGATCTGATTCTGCCCAGTGTACTACTGGCTCAATACATTATCTTAGAACCTCTTCCCTCTTTCCCAAAACTCTTCTTAAATAACACCTCCCAGGGAATACTTTAGATCTTTTGATTCTTCTCTAATAACCTCCACAATACTCTGTTTATATATTCAAGACTGTAAGCTACTTTTTTTGTGATTCATTTATTTCCTGTCTATCTTATTATTAGACTTTTAGCTTTCTGAAGAAAGAGAGCTCTCTGTTTTCTTCTAATATCTCTACCTAGCACAGCTTCTGGGACAAGAAAGATTTTCAAAGGTTGTAGGTAAAGTAGAAATAAATAGAAATAAAGTATTTGTAGGTAAAGTAGCCATCAAGTTTTGCAAATGCAAATACACTTTTGAAATACTTCTATATAGAGTTAAAAATTCTATGTAGCTAAAACCAATGCATTCTTATTATTATTAAAACACTTTCTATAATATTGTTTTTCCCAACCTATCTGCTCTATCACTGATTAAAAGGCTGACTAGGAAAACTTCACATAGCCTAACCTATGACAAATAGATCATTAATATTCCAATTAATGAGGTATATGTATTTTTAAGGGAAAAGATAAAAAGCATTGGAATAGCCAAAAATGTGTAAGATAGCTATCTTCCTTTAATAATCAGAATATCAAATTTGACATGATTTAATATTTTTTTGCTTGTTACCATGGAAATACATTTTAACAGCTTTGTTCAAATATAAGTCCTAATGCCATGAAAATATATTTTATAGAGTTTAAAAAGCAGATGTTTTTAAAATTCCAAATACCAGTGAATGTCTTTTAAAAGGCTTTTGCAAAACTTAGCAAGTAAAACTTCTATTTTTTAGAGAAGAAAAATAAAAAGGCATCACTGTCCTGTTTCTATCCATTCATCTCTGCTAGCCTTAGGGAAATAAATATTTTCACAGAAATTACAAACATTCTCAAACACTAACACTACAAAGCAATGAAAAGCTAGTAAGATGTAAAAAAAAAAACTTTCCTGTACTGAAATCAAAAGATTGATTTCTTATATTTCCATGATTTTGCCCAACTAAGATTATTACTGCAAATTTCAAAAAGATTAATAACATTGTACATGAGATTTTTTATTTTCCTTTGGTTTTCTGAGACAGCTTCTCACAATGTCCTAGGATGTCCTCCAACTTGCTATGTACCCCAGGCTGGCCTTGAAATTTGCCATCTTCCTGTCTCAGCTTCTCAGAGTGCTGGGGTTACCACAATGCACCACCACTCCCAGCTACAAGGTATTTTTCTTCACGGAGCTTTCTTTCATTATGGGGTTTTCCCTGTCCCAAAAGCAGCCAATGATTTCCACTCATCCCTACAGCAATCACAGTTGATGAGCTCACCCGGGGAACACCAGTAGAGGGCCTCAGAATCACTTTACAACTATAACCAAACATGAACAAAAGAGTAACCACAACAAAATCCACAGAGAAGGCATGAAGTAGTCGGGGCAACACTTACTGATTAATGTGTATACATAGTTACCAGCCGTAGCCACCGACCCTGGCAGAAGGGCTTCCACAGGGCAAGAGCAACATCTGGGGCACGAACTAACACAGCACAGCGGAGGGGAGAAAGACGTGACGCAGCCCCATCCCACCCCACCCCTGCCAGGGGAATTGTCAAGGACACCTCACCCCATCTCACATGTGTATGGAACTGTGAACCCACCTGCTGATTCTCTTCTACCTTCATGGACTGAAAAGTAGCCACTCGGGAGCAGGTGTAGAAGAGAACCACGTCCTCTTTCATTTGGTAAGAGAAAGGGATTAGGAGATAAGTCTGCCCTTCCTCTTACCTTTGCAAACAGGGTTAACACTGATGATTATCTGGTCGCTGACTAGTGACAGCTGGGTAATTGCTGCCCCATCCTTCCCTCAGATATTTACACTTGAATTGCCTTCATCCTAACCTGGAAACAGCTCCTACTTTTCTTTTGCCTGACCTTGTGTACATAGTACGCATTCTTCATGATCAGTCGGTACCTACCATCTGTGTCTTCCTACCGTCTGTGTCTTCCTTGAAGTGTGCCTGGAGAGCATTACCATCCATCTCTCAACAGATGTTCTGAAAACCATCAGGCTTTCTCTTCCTTTATAAGGATGGATGCTTATAATATGTACCTGTAAAATATAAACAAATGTATATGTGTGTACTCATATAAGCATGCACTCTGATTATCATTGCCTTTCTTGAATAATTGCATTGCCTGTAAATGTTTTTTATAAGTAGCATAGTCTCATCTTGACAATGATGAGAATTTCAGTTCCACCTGTAAAGGGAGCCCTTCGATTTCAACATATTTGTGTGGTGAGGCTTGATGATGGGAATGTCAAGTCCCTTCACCAACCAGTGTGATTCGCCAAGGCATCTCACAGTATTTGGAACCCTAAATTAGGCCCTTCCTGGGGCAAGAAAAATGGCTGTACTTTCCCATACTGGCTTTATTATATTCCCAGAGGCCCTGCCATCTGCTATTTATTCTCCTTATTTTGAGCACAGAGACACAGCAAGTTTAAATGAATTTTAAGATTCCATTGGGAACTGGGAAAGTTTTAGAGGAAATAGAAAATTTCTTTTATTGAAAGATATTTTCTCACACCATTGATTAAAATCTTACTCTGAAGGCAAATGGAGTTTGAAATTTTCCAAGCTCTACCAGTTGATGCTTGTGGAACTTCACCTTTCTTTACTCTCAATTTCCTCATCCACAAAGTGAAGTAATAGCCATACTCACTTCTCAGAATTGTAGTTAAGGTTGGAGTGAATAGGTATATTCAGTTCCACAGTAATAATGTCTGTATTATTCATTCCCTGGGATCTAGGACCCAACCCAAAAGGTGCTCATCACTAACTTGACGTTCAAGTCAACAGAGGCCCATTTTACATATTCACATACATTCTTCCCTACCGTGCAAGCTTAATTCAAATGTGAGTACAGCCGCACTTTCTGAGTGCCCACTGTGTACCTTGACTTGCTTGAACGTTGTTAGTTGCATATCTTGTGTGTATTCTCCACTTTTTCCCTACTGATATAATTATCTTTCATTGCAGGGACAGCAATATGTCCAGCTTTCAAAAAGGAAACACATCTCTCGGACCCCTACTCAGATGGCAGTTCAAGTGACACAGTTCCGGCCAACATGATACAAATGCAAGCTTGTGGTTGAGACGTCTGCTAAATCTCCTTGAAAAGAGGCCAGATGGGTTTGCCTTTTGCTCAATTTCCTGTCTGTCTGCAAAGCAGATGCAATAGCGGGAGCCTCGTCAGCGGCCAGGTGACCACAGCAGAAGAAAAACTCCAAGGATGGCTGGAAACAGGGTGGGAAGCGCCTCAGGCATGCTGTGCAGAAGCCCTGCTGTGTAGCCCTAGCCCAGACCACTTCTCTTCCAACCCACTTCTCATTAGGAAGATAATTCTTCTATTTAAAATACTCTAATTTAGGGTTTCCTATACACGTAGCCATATTTGATCCAAAACTAAAATTGGGACACTGCTGTTCCCATTTATAGAAAAGATTAGACCTTAGGGGAAATGGGAGGGGTGGGGGAAAGATAAGAAAGAAAAAGAAAGAATACGAGAAAAGGAAAAAAAGAAAACAAAGTCTTTGTAAAATAGGGAAGAGTGGAGCAGGTGAGGGGAGGCCAGGGGAATGGGGAAAACATAAGAACCAAGATACATCATGTAAAGATACAAGATCTCTTTAAGAAAGAAAGAAAGAAAGAAAGAAAGAAAGATTAGACCTGTGGAGCAGCAACTGAGACACAAGGGTGTGTGCTCCTTCTCCAGGCATCCTTAGGAGTTGTTGAAAAGAGAGGAAGAAGGCAGGCAACTTCCCAGTTTAAATCTTTTTTTTTTTTTTCCCCTCTTTCTGGTGCTGGGAATGGAACACCGGCCCTCTACCATGCTGAGCTTTACCCCCAACCCCCTCATCTGAAGTCCTTACAGAAACTATTAAAATCACCTGTTTTTAGAGGGTCCACAGAAGTAGTTACAGAGTATGAGAGCTGGGCCTAATCACAAGTGTATTCTCAGGGCCAGGGATTTAGCTCAGTAGTTCTGCCGCCTGCCTTGAAAGCACAAGGGCCTGAGTTCGATCCCTGGTACCAAAAAAAAAAGAACAAATGTGTTCTCAGGACTTCAAAATTATAAAGGAAAACACAGATTAGAAATTGATAATGGTTACCTCCTTGGAGAGGAGCTAAGTTTCTGCAAAACATATCATGGGATTAAGACCTTGTGTACTTTAAGTAAGAATGTATTCTTTTAAATGTGAATGTATTGATCATCCAAAAATTATTACAGTCAAAATGTTGCAGGTTAATGTATATTTAATCTGCTTCAAGAATAGTAGTAGAGGAAAAAAAATAGAGGGTGTGGATCAGGGAAAAGAACAGATAACAAATGAACAAGGTAATTTAAGAATGTATTAAATGTGGGGCCAGGGATTTCACTAAGTGGTACCATGCCTGCCTCTCAAGCACAGGTCCTGAGTTTGATCCCTGGTACCAATACCAATATACACATATATAAAAGAAATTTAAAGGATGATATTATAGAGAGTAATGGGAAGCCAGCAGTAGGGTGGTTAGGGAAGGCATTTATGTTGGGAAGAAAAGAAAAATAACCAAAATAAAGTTGGTCCTGAACTAAAACACAATGTATGAACCTATGCTATAAATCCCTTGAGTAATGAAAGAGTTGGAGGGAAGGAAAGAGAAGGGAACATAAAAACAATTAAGATATATCATGTACACGCACAAATTCCCTATGGTGAATGTGATTATTATGCATGGCAAACAGGTACCAATAAAAATTAATTTAGTCATAAGAAATCTGTTGCATTTGTGAAGTAATGACCTAGTGGTATCAGTAATTTTGAAATTCTCCAGTTTTTCCTGGTCACATTCTTGTGTCCATAGTGTGTACCCCTGTCAGGAACTATATTATCAGTCCCAAAGAGAAAACTCAATTAGACTGTGAGAACAGAAAAACAACTCTCACCACTTAATTTCCAACCCCAAATTCTTTCCTTCCTTAGAGGACCCCTTTATCTCCACACATAACTAGGTCAGAAAGTCAGTCTTTTCCCGCTGCTCAGGCTGCTCAAGAAATTCACAACGTCGGGAAAAACAGACACCTGACCCAGCAGCAGTATTGAGGAGGAGGGTGTGCATGGGGGGATGCTAGGTGTGCTCTCTAAGGCTGCAAGAATAATAGCTAACGTATTGAGTGATGCCATATGCTGATGCTTCACATATGAATTCATTACGAAGGTACAACTGCTTTCCCAGTTTATGAGTAGCAATCAATGAGAATTTGCCCAACAGAAGAATATGAAGAAAACCCAAGAAATTAGTAAGGGGGGAAAGAAAAGAAGATAGCTTGACTACTTCTCAAAGAGAGCAGAGGGACTCTGAGATCATGCAACAAAAGCCTAAGGCAGCTAATGAGAAGTCTATGAAAACAGGAGAAACATAATGACCAGCTCTGGGAAACTTGGGTGCTACTGCCAGCTGATACATCATAAGCCCCAAGATGGGGATTCTTTCAAATGAACAGGCATTGCATGTGTTATAACTCAGCCTCATAAAACTGTTGGCCTCAAAATTTGTTTTCAGCCTTAGTGTGATGTTTTAGAACCATTCCAAAAGAGTAAAATGTCATGCATGTGAAAAAAGAAAAGAAAACATTAAGGAACAATCCTGTGATGACCCAGCTTGGTGAGGACAGACATAAATTTGGACCTGAGACAGTCTGGGCCCAGAGCTAACATGCTTTTGAAAGGATTACCAAGAGGATGAGATCTGGGAAGAAAACTTATTTGGTTTTTTTGTTTTTTGTGTTTTTTTGTTTTTGCTCCTCTCTATCTGCTCTTTCCTAGATCTGCCATTCATTTCTCCGAACAACCAGCAACGTTTAGTTTATCCTAAACTGTCCCAGAAACACTGTAGAGGGTCTGGGGATTTAGCTCAGTGGTCCTGATACCTGCCTCAAAAGCACAAGGTCCCAAGTTCCATCCCCGGTACCAAAAAAACAGACACAAAAACACCGTAGACACTGACCAGATCCCTTCCCTCACAGAAACTCTGCGTGGACATGGACATGTACATCCACGGTGGCAATATTACAAGCACAGTCGTGTGGGGGACACAAGGAACCATGGGAAGACAAAGGAGGGGCCTGACTCAGCCTCTCCTCTCTCCCTCTCCAAAATACCCAATTTCTGATTATCAGGATGTGCAGGGAAAGTTCAGGAAATTGAATTGCTATACTTGAATCGTCTCTCACAACACTTTCTTTTGGAGGGGAGGAGGAGGACCACAAGGACATGACCCTCTGCACCGTGCTGGCCTGACACAGAATTCCCCAGCCTTCGTCTGTATCCTCTGTGCATCTGCCCTCTCTGCTTCTCATACTGGTTCTCAGTCTTGATGTGCAGGGGTGAGAAAAATTTCCCAGTTCTCCCGCACTTGGCAGTAAAGGATTCTAGGTCGGTCCCGTCCCTGTCTGTCCCAAAGCCGTGATACTGTCCATGTTTAGAAGCCTCCCTTCGTGTCTACTGTGTCTACTTGTCTTTGTTCCTTTCATAACTCCTGGATGGAACAGCACCTGGAGCGAGATAGCGGGAACTTCTTTTTCCGTCTCCTGTGTCAGATCCAAGCGACGCAATTTCCTTCTATGGGCCACAAATCCCAAGCTTTTCTTCCCCTCAGTCTTCACCTTCAATCCATATCCCTAATATACAAATAGTTCTTTGGTGCTCCAGTGTGTCAGGGAATCTGGTAAAACCACAGACCAGTCTCTTCTCTCTCTCCGTCAATGTCTCGCTGTCCTCAGAGAGCAACCTATCTCCTAGGAGACTAAAACAGCAAGGCAGAATGAGATTATCAAAACCTCTCTTGCAGTGGATCCTGTTTTACCGGGTTAATTATCTGCTCACCGTTTGCCCTCTGAGTATGAAACGGAGAAATATCACACTGCTGCTCACAGGAACAGCAAGCCCTGCTCGGTGGTTTCTACCAGCAAGAAGGGCCAAAACGGAAACGGAAACACAAAGTTGGTGCTTGGGTAATAGAAACAGCACAAATAGCAGCTAGCAAAGAAGCAAATCTGTGACTT